TTTCCTTTCTTCCCTTATTCACTGCAGTAGGCTCATCTTGTCCATTTCAATGTGATGCAAGGTTGTGGCAAGCCGTTGGCTTGGAAGGGCATAGCGAGCTATTGGCATTTTTCCTGTCTATAGTGCTGCCCGTTGACATTGCTGAGACTCTTCTTGGGTTTGGGGCACACCTGGGGTGAGTTTGATAGTCTCTGCCTGGTTAGTTCCTGGCGGGTGTTCAACTGAGCTGTGTAAGGGAATTTGCAATCCCTATCTGCCTCTAGATGGCACTGTTTGTCCCTCCTGGTCACCAACTTCACTAACCCAAATGAAAGGGAGACCTTAACAAAAATAAGTATTTTAACAAGCAGAAAGGCAGTTTCCCTGGAGGGTGAAATACAGGGACTGACTCACACACAGGCTCATCCCATGACTACTCAGCTGAGAAGTCCTACAGACAACAGACAAGAGAACAAAACCGTTGTCGTTTAAATAATCTGAAACCCAGTTGGCTCCTGGCAGCTGATGGATAAGTTCCTAGGATTTCTTGAGATGCATGGAAGTGACCCTTTTTGAGCCATATGTTTGATTGTAAGGCCCTCCTTGTCTTTTCTGAATTTCCTTCTAACGGAAGAAAGGGTACTTGCTCTCTTAGTGATGCCATGTGCCTCCCAGAACGGATGGAGAGTCAATGGAAATGTGATCTCACAGCATGTGGCTATGTCATGGCATTAGCACTTTGCTAGTAATGAAGACGTGAGTCTGCAAAGCAGATTCCATTATAACTCCCTGTTCATAGCTTTCTTGAATTTTTTCCTTTTAGCTTGAATCTTTCTGGGTTTAGTTTAAGCCCAAAGGTGCTATTTAAAGTTGGGGAAATTACAACCATATCCATCTGAGATAAAGACGGGTTAAAATGCTAGAGCATCCTACTGGGTCCAATAACTTTTTTCCATGCACTATTGGCTGAACTTTGAGATTAGTTGTGTTTGAAGCAAGGGTTTGAGGGAGCTACAGTGGAATGCAAGGGAATAACTGCACTTGGGGATACTGATGCCCTCATTAAACAAGTATGCAGCTGGAGCACCAGAATGCAGAGCTGGAATTAACTCATGGTAGCCAATTTGTTGCAATATTTATAACAAGTGGTTCTGAGACGGTTTTGAAACATTTAAAATGAAGATGTTGATGTGGGTGCAACTGCAAATGTGGAAATGATTAAAAGTGCTCCTGTAGGATGAAAAGGAATAGGAATGGTTTCTCCTCTGTGTCTGGCTGTTAAATACAGTTATCTGCAGTTCCTCTGTTACGTCTGAAATCTGTCTGTTCTGAACAACAAACAGTTGACAACTCTTTCCAGTACCCCAAAAGCATGGAGCGGCTATTGAAAGTATGGGCTATTTTGTATTTTTGACCCCACCCAAATGTTGTTAACATTTTCAGAGCTGCCTAGGAGATTTAGATGCTTAATTCCCATTGACATTTATGGGAGCCATGCATTAATTTACTTAGCCCTACAAGCGCATAGGGCATGACACAGCAAGGGTTGCCCTAAAATGAAACTGAACCACAAGCTGAAATTGGTTGTTTTATTTAAAGTTGGGAGGAGTTCAAGATGTATTGTCTGAGGTACCTTTCCATAACGGGTTAGTGATGGTCTCTGGACACTTTGCCTGTGTCCTGTCAGGCTAAGGCACGTTTCTTCCAAATTGTTGCTGCCAGCTTCATAAAAGGAAGGGGGCAAGTTTACAGCTATTTACAGACTGAGCTCCCTTCCTTTATCTGTGTTTTTTTTTTTTTTTTGCCTCCCCTCTTTTTGTTCCAGACATCATCACAACTCTCAGCTGGGATGTGCCCAAGGTGCCATTCCTCAGCTTATGTACTGGCAAGTGCTCCACAAGCCAGAACACATGTACCCTTTCCACAATCCCATACCTTTGAAGCACTAAGCACTTTGTCCTCATTTAATGTCTCAGTCCCTCTTCGATCAAGAGAAATAGCCCTAGTTACCATCTTTATGAAGTGACTTACTGTCCCCTTCATCCATCCCATATTCTGCAATGCTGTTGTGTCAGAGGCAGCCTCCCTTCTGACTGCTGTTCCCATGATCTTCACACCAGGGAAGATTCTGTCTCTTGCCAGCTCCAATTTTTTATGTGACTTGTTCTTAAGTACAACCCTGTGATCTTGGCATCACAGGATCAGATTGGAAACAAATGCCTGAAAATCAGCCAGCAAATGGTTCAGGATGTGAACTGCTGCAAGGGTCAAGAAACAGGCAGGAAGAAGGCAAATCAAGCTGTGTGTACCTGCACGCGCTAATGGGGTTCTCACACTGAGCAACTGTGCCGTTGAGTATCTATTGTTCATTCTGCTTCAGATTGTTTATTGAGGTGCTTTTTGCTGACCTCAAGGCCAGCAGCCTTTCCTGCAGCATCACATGCACTTGTCCCCAGTGCCACCACAATTGTCAAATGCCACTTGCATCCTTTCCTTTCCCATAGGAACAAAGCTGCACATTTCCCTTGTGCCACTGGTTCTGCAGTGCTTCCCTCTTCTTCAACTTTCCCCTGCTCTCTCCTCTAGTCCCAGTTGCATCATTCCCTGCAATTAGAAATTCCTATCTGCTCCATGTCCTGAACAAGGTGACTTGCCCTAACTACAGATAGTCACCAGGTAATCCACTAGGCATTAATGGAGAGCTCAGTTTAACCCTACTTCAGATTCCAGAGTCTAGGACAGGGTATATGCAGATTAAAGCAGTTGGAGGTTAGATCACAGGATGAATGGGAAGGAAGAGAATGGGGTTTATATACAGTACATATATACAACATGATCATCTCAGTTCCCCTGCAAACTATGAATAACTATAAGAGATGTCAGAACCTTGACAAAAATAAGGATGATTAAAAAATAACTTCTATTGAGAAAGTGTCATCTACCCTGGAATATTTCAGCTTTAAAATCTTTCTATCATCTGAGGTCTGATGAATCTGAGTTCCACCATCTGCCAGTACAAACCACTCTGGCATGGAAGCCAGCAGCAGTGCTGTGCAACTGATTTTAGGAGGACAAGAAAAGAACAGCTTGAATCAGCTCCATTGGATGTTGAGGCATGCAGACTGGAATTACTAGTCTGGTCAACTTTTTTCACTTAAAAAGTGGAGTGTTTTGGGTTTTTTTATAAAGCAGTTTCTCTTGGTAAAACTTTCAGGGCTTTTTCAGTGAATCCTAGAACTGGAAACCTTCTTAGCTTTCTTAATTTTTAGCTTTCCCTTTTTTTTCCCTTCCTTGCTGCTCTTTCCTTGTTTGGCAAAATATATTTAAAAAAAAATCTCCCAAATGTGATAACCAAAAATTGCACATAGTATCTCAAGAAAATTATATATGCTGACAACTGATCTTTTCTAAGACCTGTGAAAATGAAAATAATTTTAAAAGGTTGAATATTTTAGGAAAATTCTATATACCATATTTCAAGCAGCTCCAATATTCCTCAGTAATTCCATCATGCTTGGAATTATGGCCTAGGACACTGGATTTACAAACCCTGACTGCAGCATGGAGAACCTATGGCTGGCTCAACCATTACAAATGGCCTGGATCATGTTTTTCTGTATAAAACACAGAAATGGCATAGTTGTCAGTATAGCATTACCTCATCCCAGGGTAGAGCCTTGCCTCAG